ATTGGTTAGAATTGAATTTTGAGTATTGGACTGGTTTGACTTGGATTGGGTTGGACTTTAATAAGTTATTTGGTACATTAGGTTGGGCTAGACTGCATTGGACTAAAGTCCAGTCCGTTGTTTGGTACAAGTATGGATTGGACTACATTAACTTCAAACAAAATTTATTTTAATGTTTATTAAAATTATTTAATATCAGAAATAATTAAATTTAATATATAAAAAAACATGCACATAAAATTAAAAGGCAAAAGACCATTTTCTTTAGTGGTGAAGGGGCAATTCAGTCAACAAATTTTTATTTTCTTTAAAAATAATTTTAAAACAATAAAATCAAATATATATAAAAATAAAAAATAAAAGCTAACCCCCTCCCCTCCCAACCCCACCCCTGAACCGTCACCCCAACCCAGCCATCCCCATCCCCAGTCAACCTCCCTCTCTACACATCCCTATCCCCAGCAAACAATAACCACTTTCATAGAATATGCATACCGACCCAGCCATGAATAGTAACCTCATAAAGATTCATGGTCCCAACCTTTCAAATTGAAACAGTAACCTCCACATAACCACCATTAATCCCGATTCCAACCACCACTTAAACAGTACAAAGAAAACCCAGCCACCACTGCAACATAAACAAGAAAACCCAAGGGTAGAGTTGACGCCGGCGCCATTTCAGGTTATGTGAAAGTGACGGTGGTGGTTTGAAGAAGCAGAGAAAAAAAAATTATAAAAAACGAAAAAAAGAATCAAAATATAAAAACCAGAGAAAGAAGAAGAAGCATCAAATGGTGGGTTGGGTTCACCGGAGGAGAAGGGGGGATGAGGTTAGTTGGGTCTAGGGATGGCGGTGGTGATGCTGGGTTTGGAGGTGGGGTGGGTGATGGGAAGAAGAGAAGAGCAAACGTTGCTTTAAGCAGCGAATGGGGGAGGCGGAGGCTTCCAAACCCATGGTTTCTCTTGGGTTTATAATACCCCCATTTGCTGGATTGGTATCCCAAGCTAAATATCAAGCCCAACCAGTCCAAGAGTGCATTTAGACCCACCAAACAACGGATAGGATTTTAGTCCATTTTAATTACAAAAGTCTGGTCCAATCCAGCCCACCAAACAGGGCCTTAAGGTATTAAATCAGCCTTCTGATATTGCTTCCGCTTGCAATTATTGTTTATAAGATCCTTCTTTTCAGTTTCTTAAATTAAATCTCAGTTTGGTATGAAGGTGATAACTTTGTAGTTTAAGTTTTTGGAGTCTGTGTGTTGTGCACACAACTCCCACGTATTTTTGGTTAGAACCTGTGGCACTGCAAGCAGATGCATTCAAAAGTCTCTTAATGATGTACACATGGGCCTAGCCAAGTTGGCTAAAGCGGATGTACTCCCCACTCAGAACGTGAGTTCAAATCCCCTTTTCTGTAGTTTAGATTAGATTAAAGTCAAATATCACTTGTATAAAAAAAAAAATTGTCTCTTAATGATATCTCTACCTGAAAAATCCTCTGTTATTTGGGGATGTGAAAAAGAACAAGAAAGACCTGCAGTTTACTTGAAGAAAGATACCTGCAGATTAATCAGTTTACTTTAAGATTAGTCCACATTACCTCCTCTATTTCTCTCTGATTTTTTGGGTCTTTCTCGATCCATTCCCACTGCAAAATTCAACCAGTCAATTCGTGCAGTCTTTTTCTTCGTAGTGGTCCCAACCCAATAAGAAAAATTCAAATTGAAATTGGACACCTGCAGTCTTATCAAATGAAATTGCAACTATATTTCTCTCATAATTTCATTTCATTGCTTTTTTTTTTCCCTATGACAACAATAGTCATGTCTTTTTTGTCCTCACTGCTATCCTTTTGAAAACAATGACCATGCTTTCTTTATGTTGCATAAGTTTTTACTTAGTCTTCTTGGACCCTTACTTTTCTACAATCACCAATTGTAATAACTTTGTTTCTTCTATAAATTTGTATTTGTGAGTGGACAGATAAAAAGTGTATTTGCCTGCAATTATTGTTTATAAGATCCTTCTTTTCAGTTTCCTAAATTAAATTTCAGTTTGGTATGAAGGTGATAACTTTCTGGTTTAAGTTTATGGAGTCTGTGTATTGTGCACACAACTCCCACATATTTTTTGTTAGAACCTGTGGCATTGCAAGTAGATGCATTCAAAAGTCTCTTAATGATGCAGACATGGGCCTAACCAAGTTAGTTAAAGCGGATGTGCTCCCCACTTTGCACCTGAGTTTAAATCTCCTTCCTTGTAGTTTAGATTATTAGGGGATGTGAAAAAGAACAAGAAAGATACCTGCAATTTATTTTGAGAAAGATACATGCAGTTTAATCAGTTTACTTTAATGGCATGTTTACTAATTTGTAATTGGATTATGAGGAATTGAATTGAGGAGGAGTTGGATTGAGGAGAATTAGATTCCGGATTCCTAATGAAGTTGTTTACTAAATCATATGAATTTAGGGGAGTTAGATTCCAGATTCCTATTGAAGTTGTTTACTAAACCATATGGAATTGGGTAAGAGTTGTTCTAATTACTTAAATGTCCTCGTTGTTAGATTAAAGTAAATAACATATTTGGAATTTTGAAAATTGTTTGAGGATATAATGGGTAAAAAAGATGAATTCCTAATGGGTTAATTTTCCAAGAATTAGAATACCACCTCCCACCCAATAATTGAATGAGATTTTCTATTTAAACTCCGTACTTCTCTTTGTTCACCCCAATACTTAAATCATTAAGCTGTAAGTTTTATTATTGTGTAAAAAGACAAAAAAGGCCATCCAACTTAATAATTAACCCTAGTACATCTATACACACACCCCACACCCCACACACCCCACACCCCACACACCCCACCACTCTTCATATCAAGTTTTAGAAAAATACAAACTCCTCTACATCCTATTGTCAGATTATTCTTCTCTTTTAAAGACATAGAAAATTGACGAGCCTACCCCTTTAAATATGAGTGGGAGTTGATAGAAAGGCTTGTTGATTATCAACTCAACAATACCCAAGTGTAGGAATTCCAGTTACAGTTCTTGGAGAGAGGTAAAGTTGTTCTCTTTCTCTAGAAAGTATTAAATTTTGGGTTTAGGGTTCTATTTGTTTGTGTTTTTTTTTGTGGGAACAAAGAAAATTGTGGGGTTTAAATAAAAAATCTCTTTTATTTCTTATTTTTTCAGTTTGGGGTGTATTTAAGAGTAGTTTGGGAAGATAGTGGGGTTTTTTTAGAAATTATAAAAATTTAAATTAAAAGATGGGGTGAACTTAGAACATGGGGTGAACTAAGAGAAGTGTGAGGTTTAAATAGAAAATCTCTAATTGAATTCCTCTAAAATTAGGAATTCAATTCCTAATTTTGTGCGGGCCTCACTTACTTTTCAATTCTTTAATGTGAAGTAAACTTAGGAATTCTTCATAAGTGGATTCAATTCCTGATGAGAATTCCAATTCCTAATTAATAAACACACCATAAGATTATTCCACATTACCTCCTCTATTTCTCTTTGATTTTTTTGGGTCAATAGATCTCTTTCTTGACCCATTCCCACTGCAAAATTCAACCAGTCAATTCGTGCAGTCTTTTTTCTTTACAGTGGTCCCAAGAAGAAAAATTCAAATTGAAATTGGACATCTGCAGTCTTATCAAATGAAATTGCAACTATATTTCTCTCATAATTTCATTTCATTGCATTTCTTTTTTCCTATGCCAACAATGGTCATGTCTTTTTTGTCCTCACTGCTTTCTTTATGAAAACAATGACCATGCTTTCTTTATGTTGCATAAGCTTTTACTTAGTCTTCCTGGACCCTTATTTTTCTAAAATCTCCAATTGTAATAATTTTGTTTCTTCTATAAATTTGTATTTGCGAGTGGACAGATCCAAAGTACAAATGAAAGCAATGGCTTTTGTTCTCCCCCATCTGTTCTTCCTTCTCTTCCTGCTCCTGCCCTTCTCTGTCATTGCTCAAACTAATGGTAACATTAGTGTGGGTAGTACTCTCACTGCAGGTGAAGAGTCTGCTTGGTGTCTTTCACCTTCCAATGATTTTGCATTGGGGTTTCAAACTCGACAATGATCACTTCTTGCTTGCCATATGGTGTCACAAGATACCTCAGAAAACCATAGTTTGGTATGCAAATGAAGGCAACCCTGCTCCAAGAAAATCAAAAGTAGAGCTAACCGACCAAGGCCTTCTGCTGAGACCCCCACAAGGAGATCAACAACTATTGACAGAATTTCCAGCTGCTGCAATAGCCTATGGTGTAATGAACGACACGGGAAACTTTATGATTGTTGATACAAGTTTTAGAGTCATTTGGGAGACCTTCAATCATCCAACTGATACCTTGTTACCTACTCAGACAATGGAGATAGGTGGCTTGCTTTATTCTAGACAAACAGAAACTAACTTCTCAAGGGGAAGATACCAGTTTCAGATGCTTGGTAATGGTGATGCTGTGCTCAACCCCATAAATGTTCCAGGTAAATATACTTATGACGCATATTATATCAGCGGCAGTCGTGATGAAGCAAATGATACAAATTCCGGTTACAAGGTCATCTTTGATCAGTCAGGCTACTTGTACATATTGCGAAGAAGTGGAGAGAGATTTTTTATTACAACACCAGGACAGCCACTCTCACCTACGAGGTATTATGTCAGAGAAACTCTCCATTTTGATGGGGTTTTCATCATAAGTTACCAACCGAAGAATTCTACAACCAGTGGCTGGAGTGTCATCAACACTGAACCAGATGATATTTGTGTGAAAATAGCTGGAGAAATCGGAACAGGGCCATGCGGTTATAATAGTGTTTGTACACTTAAAGAAGATAGAAGGCCAAGTTGCAGATGCCCAGTGGGCTATTCTTTATTGAATCCAACTGATGTGTACAGCGGTTGCAAGGTAGCTTTCCTGCAGTAAGTATGTGAAGATGGTGGAGGGCAGGGTTCTGAAAGAGATTTGTACTACATGGATGAGCTTCCAAATACTGATTTTCCAACATCAGATTATGAGTTGTTTACATCTTATAATGTTGAAGCCTGCAAAACATCTTGCTTGGAAGATTGTCTATGTGCTGCAGCTGTTTCTAGAGACAACAGATGTTGGAAGAAAAAACTACCACTTTCAAATGGAAGACAGGATAGTGGAGTTAACGGTAAGACTTTCCTTAAATTAAGGACTAGTGGTACCCTCCAAAGCCCAACTCCTCCATTACCTCCAAAGGCAAAGAATCAGAACACTTTGATCATTGTGGGATCAGCACTCTTGGGTAGTTCTGTGTTTGTCAACTTCATATTGGTTGGTGCAATTTGTTTGGGTTTCTTCTTCTACTACCAGAAGAAGCTCACGGGAACTCACCAGGACAAAGCTTCAGTGGGAAGCAATTTGCGCTACTTTACCTACAAAGAGCTCATAGAAGCAACACAGGGGTTCAAGGAAGAGCTGGGAAGGGGATCATGTGGCATTGTTTACAAGGGGAAAACTGATCATGCAGGAGGACCAGTACTTGCTGTCAAGGTGTTGGACAGAGTATTTAACGACAAGGAAAAAGAATTCAAAGCTGAAGTTAAGGTCATAGGCCAAACACATCACAAAAATCTTGTCAGACTTCTAGGATATTGTGATGAGGGACAGCACAGGTTGCTGGTATATGAGTACTTGTTGTATTCATAATTGACACAAATAAATGTGCAAACAACCAATTAAAAATACTCGCAAGTGCACGAATCTATTGAGGTATAGATTATGTAAGTACGGGGTCGATCCCACGAGGAACTTATCGGCTTCCTATAAGTTCTAATTTGAGTACGTAAAGAACACTAATTTTACACAACACACAAACACAGTACAAATTGGGAACTAAAAATGAATAGAGGAAGGTAAAAGAAAAGAAACAAAACAAGAAACCAAAGAAAAATACAAACAGCACTTTCTATCACCCTTTTATCACTATTTGGACAGATTCGTTTCTCTGTTTTTCAACTTCGACCTCTGTCCAGTTTTTGACCTATAACTTTCCAACCGTTTGTCCAAATTTCAAGTTCTTTATACGGTTCAATTCAGCATAGAAAAACAAAGAACATAAAGTGGACCAAAGTCCAAAACAGTTACGAAAATAAACAGAATTCAATAACGAAAACACACAACGTTTCAAACACACACACACACAACACACTTGTGGGGGGGGGGGGGGGGGGGGGGGGGGGGGGTGTGTGTGTGTTTGGTTTGGTTCAAGTGACCTAATTCTAATGCATGAAAGTAATGTACTTTAAATTTAACAAGAATGACAAGATGAAAATCAAAATGTGAAAGTAAAATGTAACAAACACTAGGGTTTCGGAATCCACCCTAAACAATTCTACCCACATGTTCATGGATACTCAAGTGATGAACTCTAAACGTGTTGATGAAGATGTTCGCAATCAAAACCAGTACTAGTGGCTCAAGACGCATTGATTCTCTCTAATATACGTAAAGTGCAGTGCTAGTGCTACAATGCTTGTGCCTTCCCTATAACCGAATCTAGGTGTGCTTAGTACTTTGATTCAATTACAAGAAAAACCCATTAAGCTCAAAGAGAATATGAACACCACAAGAATCCTAATAGCATGATGTTTACATTAGGCATTCAAGAAACCAATTCACATGGATGATTCTTACTTCATCCATTTATTGCTTAGGACAACATGAAGATACACATAATCCCAACAATCTCAAGAAGCATGCTTTCAAAGATGGCCAACCAAGGAAAAACACACATCAAGGATAGATTAATTTGGTGAATTGGAATTCATCAACAATATCTAGATTTTCATACACTCAAGCATCAAAACAATAAGGTTTTCATGTTTAGGGCTTCAACCTAAGCCCTAGATATGGAGTTTAGTTGCTCATACTTATTTCAAATACAAACTCAAAATCAAACATCAAGGATAGATTAATTTGGTGAATTGGAATTCATCAACAATATCTAGAACTTCATACACTCAAGCATCAAAACAATAAGGTTTTCATGTTTAGGGCTTCAACCTAAGCCCTAGCTATGGAGTTTAGCTACTCATACTTACTTCAAACACAAATTCAAAATAAAACTAGAAAGAGTTTACAGATTTGGAAGTGATGAAAGCTTGAAGTCTTCAATGGTGGAAGTCTCCCTTCCTCCTTCTTCCTTCGTAGCTCCTCAGCTCCAAAACCTGCTCAATATCTCTCCCTCAATGAATTCCACGTTCAAAGGCTGATGCACATTCCCTTTGCACCCATCTCTTTCCTCCTTTTGAGCTTTTACTTTTAATATTCTATTGCCAAAGTCTATACGCATTGTCTCCTTGTCTCCTTGCAAATGATGAAGTTTTGTTTTAAAGTATATTCCAAGGCTCCATTTGACTTAGGAAATCCCACTTCAAAGGCTATTCATTGTTACCAATTGGTGTGGTAACAAGTAGAAATAAGATGTTATCAAGTGGGGGTGAAAGCTGGTCCAACACAGACTTCTAGAGCTGTGGTAACATGCTGAATTGGTTGGATAGGCTATACTTGTCCAATGGAGCTCAAATTTGGATATGTTGTAGTCAACATCCATTGGAATAAGTTTCATGAAGATCTTCACCTCATCCGAGCACTAGAGCATGATGATCTAAAGCCAAGAAGTTGACCTACGAAAATGAACAAAATCAGAATTTATAACCAATAATGCACTTTTAGCTCATTTTCATTATAACCAAGGTAAAATCTAAGAAAACACATAAATGAAGTAAAAAGTTATAAAATGTCAAGAACTAACTCAAAATAATGGGTCAATAACATGATAAATCATGTGTAAAAATGAACCGAACAGTACTTGAGCAATGGCACTTTGGCAAGCTTCCTTTTCGGGGATGATGTCAAGCCCAGTTGGCAACAAAGAAGCCAGATTGCATTGGGGATTGCTAGAGGGCTTGTTTACTTGTATGAAGAACGCAGCACACAGATCATCCATTGTGATATAAAGCCTCAGAATATACTTCTTGATGAATATTACAACGCTAAAATATCCGACTTTGGATTGGCAAAGCTGCTCAATCAAACCCAAGCTTCTAAAACAGCAATCAGAGGAACAAAAGGGTATGTTGCACCTGATTGGTTCAGGTCTGCACCAGTCTCTGTGAAGGTTGATGTGTATAGTTTTGGCGTCTTGCTTCTAGAAATCATTTGTTGCCAGAGAAACGTGGATGTGGAATTTGGTGGTGGAGAGAGGGGAGTTTTAACTGACTGGGCATATGACCTCTATATGGAAGGCAGATTAGATGCTCTGATTGAAAATGACATGGAGGCCATGAATGATATGAACAAAGTTGAGAGATTTGTGATGGTTGCTGTTCGGTTCATTTTTACACATGATTTATCATGTTATTCACCCATTATTTTGAGTTAGTTCTTGACATTTTATAGCTTTTTACTTCCTTTTTGTGTTTTCATAGGTTTTACCTTGGTTAGAATGAAAATGAGCTAAAAGTGCATTATTGGTTATAAATTCTGATTTTTGTTCATTTTCGTAGGTCAACATTTTGGCCTTGGATCAGCATGCTCTGGTGCTCGGATGAGGTGAAGATCTTCATGAAACTTGTTCCAATGGATGTTAACTACAACATATCCGAATTTGAGCTCCATTGGACAAGTGTAGCCTATCCCACTAATCCAACAATTGATGCTGGCTCTGGAAATCTGTTTTGGGCCAGTTTTACTTTCACTTGGTGTTACCTCATTTCTACTTGTTACCATGCCTTTTGGTAACAAGATATTACTTTGGTTAAGAGATATTTTCTGAAGCAATGAGCATCTTGGTGAAGACAAGAACAAAAGAACCCATCATGGTAAAAAAGGTGGTAGTTTTATATTAAAAGAAAAGCTGGAAAGCAAGGTAAAGGATGGGCAAAGGAGCAAAGGGAGTGCATCTGAAAATCATTCTATCATTCTACAACTTTGCAGAGATTTTGGAGTTGGAGATGAAGCTTGGAGCTAGGGAGCTCAAGGAGGAAGACAAGGGCAACAAGCAAGAAGTGGAAGAGATTTCCACCATTGAAGACCTTGAGCTCCCATGTTCACAAAATCTGTAACTTCTTTCTAGTTATATTTCGAATTTGTGTTTGAAATAATTATGAGCAACTAAACTCCATAGCTAGGGCTTAGGTTGAAGCCCTAAACATGATTACTCTATTGTTTTGATGCTTGAGTGTATGAATATCTAGATTTTGTTGATGAATTTCAATTCACTAAAATAATCTATCCTTGATGTATGTTCTTCTTTGATTGATCACCTTTGAAAGCATGCTTCTTGAGGTTGTTGGGATTGTGTGTATCTTCATATTTTCCTAAGCAACAAATGGATGGAGTAAGAACCATCCATGTGAATTGGTTTCTTGAATACCTAATGTAAACACCATGCTATTAGGATTCTTGTGATGTTCATATTCTCTTTGAACTTAATGGGTTTTCCTTGTAATTGAATCGAAGTACGAACCATACCTAGGTTCGGTTATGGGGAGGGCACAAGTATTGTAGCACGAACCATGCACTTTACGTATATTAGAGAGAATCAATGCGTCTTGAGCCACGATCCATGGTCTTGATTGCGAACATCTTCATCAACACGTTTAGAGTTCATCACGAACCAAAACAAACCCCCCCCCCCCCCCCAAAGTGTGTTGTGTGTGTGTGTTTGAAACGTTGTATGTTTTCTTTATTGAATTCTGTTTATTTTCGTAACTGTTTTGGACTTTTGGTCCGCGTAATGTTCTTCATTTTTCTGTGCTGAATCCAACCGTATAAAGAATGTGAAATTTGGATAAACGGTTGGAAAGTTATATGCAAAACACTGGACAGAGGTCGAAATTGGAAAAACAGAGAAACGAATCTGCCAAAAACGACCGGTCGTTACTGTTCAGGCGACCGGTCGCACATGAATCTGTCCAAAAACAACCGATTGTCACTGTTCATGACCGGTCGCACTGTTCATTTCACTGTTCACAGGTGATAAATAGGTGATAAAAGGGTGATAGAAAGTGCTGTTTCTGTTTTTCTTTGGTTTCTTGTTTTGTTTCTTTTCTTTTACCTTCCTTTATTCATTTTTAGTTTCCAATTTGTACTGTGTTTGTGTGTTGTGTAAAATTAGTGTTCTTTACGTACTCAAATTAGAACTTATAGGAAGCCGACAAGTTCTTCGTGGGATCGACCCCGTACTTACATAATCTATACCTCAATAGATTCGTGCACTTGCGGGTATTTTTAATTGGTTGTTTGCACATTAATTTGTGTCCTTTTAGGAATACAACAGTTGCCATTTGGTGCATCCAAGAAGACCCTGCATTGAGACCTACCATGAAGAAGGTTATGCTGATGCTTGAAGGAATAGTTCAAGTTTCAGTTCCCCCAAGTCCTTTCCCATTTAGTTCCATTAGCTGTAACAAGAAGAAAAGAAGAAAAAACATATTTTGTAAGTCAGGTCTCAAACTTTGAACAGAAACAGATGTTATGATGCTATCAAGCCTTTGTGATAGATGATTCTCTGTGGTCAATGCCACAATAAAAATAATGTCCTACCGTATTCTTCGTTAATTTCTATATCATCACACCTACCTTTTGATTGGTCGTGATGATATCCCAGTTTGTCAATGAAAATTCTTACGTAAGTTTTTACTTTTTATGTTTTGTGGTGCATGAAACTGCATACAGAAACATTCATATATCATTCAAAACCAAACCTGACAATGACACCATGGCCGGCTAGTTTATCAAACTACATTTTTGAAAAACCAAACCTGACAATGACACCACGGCCGGCTAGTTTATCAAACTACATTTTTGAAACATCCGAATTTGATCGTCAAACTACTTTTTTTTATTGCCAAGTGATCCTCAAACTACATTAGCAAGTGGGTTTGTAAAATTGCCAAGGTAAAGTTTTGACAAATAATCCTATCCTATGAGGTCATATGCTAGTTCCCAAACTTTTCAATGTGAGACAATATTCAATCATGACAGACTGCGCTTTTTGGATTTTTCTTCAAAGAGCTTAGAAATAATAAACTCAAATGATCTAACCTGGACATAAGTTGATGCGCTTGAAGGAGTCAAAGAAAATTTCAGCTTCCAAGTAATTACCCTACATTATAAAACATTGAAATAGACTTTGCACCCACAATCCAAAAACAAAAAGACAAAGCTCAAACTGATGATTTCATCAATAGCTATTTCATAACAATTTTCAAATTTTGTAGGTGGTTGTGAAATTATTGCAAGCGCACAATCCACACAAGTAATATAGAGATAAGTGAAGTGTCGTTCCCACAAAGACTGTAATTTCCTTTTAAGTATCAATTATGATTAATTCAGAAGTTTACTTGAACAATTGATTAATGAGAGTGATTGATTTATTAAACTAAATTAAAACAAATATAAAAAATAGCAATTTAATTAACAATGGAAAATCAAGTTGATGAGACACTAGAGCATCCAATTTCATCATAACCAATTCCAATTAATTCTTATAGCCAATTAACCCTAATTACTACCCATGTTGACAGTTGGTTTCTCCTAATTCATTCAATATCTCCTCTAGGGCCAAACGTTTTCTTAATTAACAACTCATTCTTTCTCGAGCAACGAATTTAGAAAATCAAGAACCCATTAAGTTCTTCTGCAAGAAAACTGCATGAGTCGTGTTAGTCCCTCTCGGGCACTCAATCAAGACATGGTATTTGTTACAAGAAGCAAACACCAAACATCTCCTATCGATCTCCATTTGGATCATCAATTAAATATTAGCTAGATATTTGAAGCATTAAGAATAGTAACAAATACTCAACATGAAATAGTAATAAGATAATAATATAACTATAAAAATTAAGTGTTCATGGTTAGGCTACATCATAGCCCTAGTAAGACAAATTAGTTCATAACAAAAGAAGAGATAAACAAGAGAATTGTTGTCATAAAACCAATTTGGCAGATGAATTTGATCACTGAATTCTCCACAGCAACACCATTGTAAGCTCCAAAAGCACATCATCAGCAAACTCTTGGCTCTCTTTGTGATATATTTGTGGGTGTAGTGAAATATGGTGAAAAGTATATGGTAGAAAAAGATGGTCCATAGAGAGAGCTTAGGATGACCTTATATGGTGTAAAACAACAAAACCCTACTCTTAAAAGGTCTGGAAAAGCTCTCCTAAAGCATAACAAAATCTCAAACAATTAAACTAGGAAAGAATCCTTTCTTTGACTTGGAAACACATCAGTCAAATTGCACGCACATTTTGGGGTCCTTACGCTTCCTATAAAATTATGGAAAAATATGAGAAATGTAGCTTGATCTCTAAGATTTCCAAGCATATGTCACACGCTACTAGGAAAAATCGGAAAAACACTTCAAATCTTCAATTTTCCATAGCAGTGCAGTTCTTATGGGATTTCAACTTAGGCTGTCTTGACTTGCAAGTTTAGAGAATTTGGCTCAGTAGAAAATTATGAAACTTTGAGACAATGATCTTCAATGTCTTAGCTTTCTTCTCCAATTAGCCTTGCGCTAAAATTCATTCGAAAAGTCAATTTTCAGTTGAAATCCTTCCAAGCGCGCATAATAGCTGAAAATAAGGAAAGTAAGGTAATAATGCTCTTTTTAATTAACTTTCCCTACAAAAACCAAATATAAGAGGTATAAAAATATAGAAAATAATGCACTTACTATAGTTCCCAACTCATCTTAAAAAATTCTAAAGTTTTTGTCTTTGCGTCACGCCATCACCTTGCTGTCACAGCAAGATGTTGTACACGCATTTATAGCAAGGATATTGTAGTACGCCTAACCACATTGGTGCTAGAAAATTAGCAATGACTATTACTGTACGGCTGCTTCTGTTTTCCTCACTGTTTCTGCTACCAGTTTCTGTGTTTGCTCAAACTAACGGTAGCATAGCAGTCGGTGCTTCTCTTACTGCAACTGCAGGTAACTCCTCACCATGGTTTTCTCCATCTGGTGATTTTGCCTTTGGATTTCTGCCACTTGGAAACAATGATCTTTTCCTGCTCTCAATATGGTATGCCAAAATACCAGACAGAACCATAGTTTGGTATGCAAATAGGGATAATAAGCCTGCGCTTGCACCTAAAGGATCAACTGTGAACTTGGCTAACAGTGGACTAGAGCTTACAAGTCCTCAGGGTGAAGAGCTATGGAAATCTGAAACCATTGTTGGTGTTGTTGCCAATGGGGTCATGAATAATACTGGCAACTTTGTTCTTCAAGATGGAAAATCAGGAAATATATGGGAGACCTTCAACAATCCTACAGATACCATGTTGCCTGGACAGAAAATTGAAAGAAGTGGGAAGCTTTCATCTCGATATTCGGAGACTGACTATTCAAAGGGACGGTTCCAGCTGCTTCTGCAAGAAGATGGGAAACTTGTGCTCAGCACCATAAACTTGCCAACTGAATTTGCCAACGAACCTTACTATGCAACCGACACTACCTCAGGGACTGTGGCAGGTAGTGAAGGTAAAGAATTGGTTTTCAATGTCTCAGGCTACTTGTATGTTCTGAGAGACAATGGTGGAAAGTACAATCTTGCAGGGGAAGAGGTAGTCTCAGAAAGGGACAACTATATTAGAGCAACTCTCAACTTTGATGGGATTTTTGCTCAATATTATCACCCAAAGAATTTCACTGGAAATGTAAGCTGGACTCTTCTGTGGTCAGAGCCAGATGATATTTGCCGAAGAATTACAGAAGATTCAGGTTTTGGTATTTGTGGGTACAACAGTATCTGCAAGCTCAACGCTGATAATAGGCCAACCTGTCAATGCCCAAGAGGATTCTCTTTACTTGATCCCAAGGAACCATTCGGGAGCTGCAAACCGGATTTCATACAAGGCTGTGAAGAAGATGAGCTTAGTACCACAAAAGATCCATATGATGTAATCGTGATGACAAATATTGATTGGCCAATCTCAGATTATGCGGAGTTCAGACCTTTTACTGCAGAAAAGTGCAATGAATCTTGCTTTCAAGATTGTTTGTGTGCTGTTGCTGTTTTCAGGAATGAAACCTGCTGGAAAAAGAAATTACCTCTCTCAAATGGGAGAGTGGATGTCAGTCTTAATTCAAAGGCCTTCTTCAAAGTCAGAAAGGATAACACAACTCTACAATTTTCTCCAATGTCAAATCCAGATGATAAGAAGAAGAAGAAGAGCAGTAACACTTTGATACCCGTAGAATCCGTAATTCTAGCTACCTCTATCTTTGTTAGTTTTATGTTAAGTGGTGCTGTTTGTCTGGGATTTTTCTTCGTTTTCCGGAAGAAACAAGTAAGGTCTATCAAAAATATTTTGGACTCAAATTTGTATTCTTTTAGTTACCGAGAGCTTCAAGAAGCTACAAATGGATTCACAGAAGAATTAGGAAGGGGTGCGTTTGGAGTTGTTTACAAAGGGACAATACAAATTGGTTCTGGTATCCAAGTGGCAGTGAAGAAGCTAAACTGTGTGATACAAGATGGTGAGAAGGAATTCAAGACAGAACTGCGCGTAATTGGTAAGACACATCACAAGAATCTAGTTTGCCTGGTTGGGTATTGTGACGAAGGGCAACATCGATTGCTAGTATACGAGTTCTTAAGCAATGGCACGTTAGCAGGCTTCCTTTTTGCTGATACAAAACCCAGTTGGACGCAGCGAATTGAAATTGCTTGTGGAGTTGCCAAAGGACTTTTGTACTTGCATGAAGAGTGCAGCACCCAAGTCATCCATTGTGATATAAAGCCTCAGAACATACTGCTTGACGATTATTACACTGCTCGGATCTCTGATTTTGGATTGGCAAAGCTTTTGATGTTGAATCAGAGCCACACTCATACTGCCATTAGAGGAACAAAAGGGTATGTTGCCCCTGAGTGGTTCAGGAACATGCCAATCACTGCCAAAGTTGATGTGTATAGCTTTGGTGTTGTGCTGCTTGAGATCATTTGCTGTAGGAGAAGCGTTGATGTGGAAAATAGCTGTGAAGAGAGAGCAATTTTAACAGATTGGGTGTACGATTGCTACCGTGAAGGGATATTAGATGTTGTTCTAGATTATGAAGTTGAGGCATTGGATGATAGAAAGAAGCTTGTGATGATTGGTATTTGGTGTATTCAAGAAGACCCATCTCTTAGACCAACTATGAGGAAAGTTGTGCAGATGCTTGAAGGCGTGGTGGAAGTACATGTTCCTCCATGTCCATCCCCGTATACCAGAACAGGCTGAAACCTAAAAGGAAACAGAAGACACGTGTGCAACCCACCTCAATGAGTTGTAAAGTTGGTTCAAACATATACGCATGGTCTTGTTAATATGTTATTAGATTAGT